TGTCAGGCTACTAAAACTGGAGAGTATGACTTAATTCAAGTTCAGCATATCAATGGGTAGATCCCTTCAACTTGGGTGTGCGATACACTCATGGAGTCCTATTGTTAACTTGTCTGTATGCGTATGTGTATGTATACCTGTTTACTCTATAGATATCTCAACAACCAATAGCCAGTGTCTGGATCAAAATAACAACTTGTTTATCGAAACACATAAAATAGCATCCTCAATTAAAGTTTACGGATAACATAAAGAACAAACAGCACTAAGCAGAGAATAAAGTTCATACATCCTGGTTATATTGCTGGCAATCAATTATTTATTCAAAGTTTTGTCCTAGTCATGTAGTCATATTACAGAAAATTCTTTGGGACATATGACCTATTAATTTCCTGTTAGAAAAACATAATATAACAATGAACACATTAACAATTACCCCGGTAATATGAAATGAATGATAAATTCACTGGGCAAAGAAAGTCAAGAATGTTCATACTTTTTTATTGCTTCATATATTCTTACATCTCTTGTTAAGTCATAAAATATTTCTGAAACAGTAAAATATACTTTTAAACTCTCGATAAAATTGGAATCCTTTTTATATCGTATTTTACAACTTAATAAAATACGAGTACGGCAGTGACTGAGATGAAGCAAAGTTTTCAATAAATCGGGGAAAGTCTCCTGAATGTAAATGATATCCGCTCCTAGTATGATGTCAAATGTTGGAAATTGGTCCAAGTGTTTGCCCCAACAAAGTTCTTTGACTTTTATTTGACCTGTGATGTCATCTGGCATAACATTATCATCAATATTTTGCTGTAGTTGTTCCAGTGCCATTTCACGGTCGGTGATGATGACATTGCCACCTGAATTAAAAACAATAACCAATAGACATTTATATCAATAATTTGTGATGTTTAATTTTTCAAGTTCAAAGTTCGACAGGATTGGGGAGGGGGAGGGGTCATAGCAGAACATTATTGAGGTCATAGGTTATGGGTCATCATTCTTGAGGTCATGAGTCATCATTCAATGTTATTGGTGAAATGAGGTCACATGATGATTTGATAAATATTGATATTTGACTCTTCCAGCGTATTTCTTTTTTCTCACATCATCTTGCATCTTACTGTGAATAGATTTCATAACAACGACAACACTTTTGCAGAAAATAAACGGATGGATGTTTTTCTTGACTATGGGTAAAGTTTTACCTTGCTTACTGTTTTCATTCAGAATAATAAAACAGCTATTGTCCTTGACTTCAGCCAATATTAAGAAGTATATATTTACAATATTGGTTTAAACCAAGGACATAATGTTCATAGTAGATTAAGATTATGTAAATTAAAGAAACAGACATGCCATGCTCTTCACAATGTCTCACTAGAAGGGTGTTAACAACACCAAACACAATAAAGAAACTCAGTAAACAAATTTGCAAGCTGAAATTCATTATCAATTTAATTTAGGAACCACAGCGGGTAAGAAGGTATTGCCAACAATTAATTATTAATTAATGTGTTGCATATATACTGGGTTACTGAGCATATGTGCAATGCATTATGGGAGTGAAATTGAGCATGATCTCAACATACTAGTACATATACTGTAATTAATCATTTACTTGTTTTTAATTTTGTTATTAAAATCCACTAAATTAAATTCATGTGAGTATGGTAAAATAACAATAGTTCATAAAATTAAAACCCAGTGAAATTGCTCAAAACATCAAAATAGTGAAATTAAATTCTAGCGAAAACAAATGGTTTTACAGTATGTGCCATTGATGTTTCTGCATCTCAATACAAGGACTCATATTTAGTGAATTTTCAATTTGGTCAACATCAAAAAATACTGTAGTTGCCTGCAATACCAATATTTTATCTCAAATATGAATACCTACATGTAGTTCATTGACAGATACATTATCGCATCCACTTATGTTTTGATCATGACTGCCCATTTTTTGCACAGTGTGGAAGCTTTGGTTTTCCATGGGTTCCATGGCAAAAGTTTTGGACATTAATTAAATATGCCGTGGAGTGGCAGATTCAATGTTCAATGGGTTTGTATTAAAACACGCTTTTTGTCATATAAAGTTATGCTTTTTGGAATATTTTTATATTTACAAAAAAACTAAATTCTGAATCTGATATGACCATATTGTGTTTGCATGTAATTTCATGAGAAATGTTCTACTATAAAACTGTATACTACGACAGATAAATGAAAAACTCCCGAAAGATTGCTAGTAATGTTATTGCATCGTTCGCACACAACATGAAAAGTACATACCTAGTAAAGCTGTTACCATGCCAACCAATCCTGTACCAGCTCCTAGTTCTATTATTGTTTTATCTTTAATATCCAGAGCATGTTCACTGATGGATTTTTCCAGATATTCACAAAACACTATGGCCTAAGAGTAAAATGAGAAAAAGTATTCATTTCCCTGTTCATGCAGCCTAAAAAACATACTCAGTTACTGTGGTTTATCACACAATCTGAGGAGCTACCTGTATCCCGGTTAATTGTCAGATAATTGTAGGCAGCAGGCCATAGAACATGTGTTTTCTGCATTAATGTAGATGACAAAATACTTAAATGACAATACGTTCTCATATTGAAACCCCATGTTCTTAAACATTTTCAGTCAAGGCAAAGCAAAATACATGTACTAGCCTGGAATCCAGCCATTCAGTGTGCCCTTCCCAGTGTGCTCAAAAATGGCCCGCTGAATCATTGCATAGACAATACAGAATTATGTGTCATCACTAACTGGCTATGTCCATGGATTCAGTACATCACCATGGGAACACATATGGGCAGACTGACTTGTATGTAAGGCCAGCACACAGCTCTCTAGACTGATCACTATTATTATTTATATCTATTATTTGTAGATTTTCAAAGTCTTAAGATAATAGACCACATCTACCACATAGATACCACATCCTATACAATTTGAAATTACTTTGTTTTATAAAGAAAGAATGTCAGGCAAAAATTTATATATAAATTCTCAAAATCACTGTTGTTGTCATAGGACAATGATTCCCACCCCAAAAAAGCCAGGATGTTCACCCAATATTGAATTTTGCAAAGGATTGTGGGATAGACAAATGAACTATAGAGGGTGTTTCCAGGGAGGGGGAATCTATCTTTTCCATACAGCCCTGTGCATCGACTGTAAACCTCCTGTTTTCTAGCAATGCATTTTTTAAATTGTATTGTTATATTGCTTTCCAATAATTTCACTTGGAAAATTGTTTTGAAGATTTGTATGCATATTTTTTTTACTGTTTTCGGCTACAAGCTGTCTAACCGTAGGAAACATAGAGATAGGAAATTTCATTCTATCCATTCAATCATTCTAATTTATGTTTTATATTCTTTCCATATCACAGTTAAAACAACATGTACTGCTTGAAAACAGGAAAGGTTTACAGTTGATATTAACACGAGGCTGTATGAAAAAGATACGAGTCACCCACAATCCTCAAAATTGAATATGAAGTTAACACATTTTTTTCCTATAAGGGAATGACCATAAGAAATTCGGG